ACGTAGGTATGTACGTGTAATGTGTGTATAATTCACGTATAATTTAGGTCAAAATATTCAAAATTTATATAGACGTCAAATAATAACATACTATAATATGTCTGCATGACAACAATTTAAGCTTTATAATTATAACAATTGTTTTAGATTGKAGAAATTCGTTAAAAACGCTTCAGCTGTCTTCAATATTGAAGAAGAAAATTAAGAATGTCAAATAGTTTTCAAAATTATAAGATGAATAATAATATTAAAAACCAAATTTTTTTACATGAAGACCGATTTTAACAAAATCAAATTTTATTTTATTGTCCTATGTGGGCCCGGCTTAAGGCTTGATAATTATATTACCTATATATATTGTTCATACTTTTTTCTTATGAATAACTTATAATACATAATTCATTTCAAAAAAAATACACACAATTGTTTTTATACCCATCATATCTATCACACATGGTTAATTTTGATAAAATTTGATATTTAAACGAAAAATAACGATTTTAGTTATATTTAATTGTAATCTAAAAAATATTATTCTTTAAGAATTGAAGATTTTACTCAATTAGTATATCATTATTTCTTAGTGTTTACTATACAACTATACAAAATAACACTTTGAAATTTTTTTTATTAATTTTAAGCTGTTAATACTACCAACCGGGACAGTATTTGCTTAAAATGTTAATGAAGTATAATGAGATACTGAGACATATATTATTTGACTATTCCACTAAAGATACTATAGCTGTAAGAACTCGATAATACACAATATACTCTTTAATAATAAGTTAGGTAATACTTAATTATGCACAATGAACATAGTACCTACCTATACAGACTACAGTATATATAATGTCGTAACCACTTCGTGAAATGGAAACACGTTTTTTACACTTTGTGAAATTCTAAAATATTTCACGAAATGGTCACTCAATTTTAACATCGTGTAATTTTTTCACAAAGTGGTCGTTCACTTTGTGTACTGAAATACAACATTTAACAACTTATTCTACCCTTATAAATTTAACTTAAATAATTATATACAGTAATAAAGTTTATTTATATCATATTAATTTATTAACCGTATTGTGAACATTTTTTATTTATTAGAGCAGGAAAATGAATTATGACAACGACATTTTAGACTACTTTTAAAACAAACACATCTTTTGGTTTGGCAAGCGCTTTTACAAGAACAACTTAACGGAAACGTCAAGTTTGATTATATCCATATTTACCTCGTCAAATACTACAATAAATACTTAAATAATATCTAAATTATTCTATACGACTATTATACTGCAATTTGCAATTACTAGACTATCTGAAATGTGTAGATGATACTTATTGGTTTTGATAAAAGTCATAATCATAATGAATTAACCAAGAGTGAAACTGTCCAAATTGTATCTGGAGGTCATGGATTTTTAAGTTGTTCGTGTAAAACTGTTTGTTAAACCAAAAGATGTGTTTGTTTTAAAGGTATAGTCAGGGCCAGCCCTAGCTTTTTCAGCGACCAGTGCAAAAATTATTTCGGCGCCCTTCACACTCTTTTTAAACATTAAACAGGAAAAATTAAGGAAATTAGTCAAGTTCAGAAAAAAATGTACTTTCTTAGTTTTGTTATTATTGTATAGTAATTAATAATAATTATCAATATAAAATATAATTTATTATTAGTAAAATACTTTGTTACAGAGGTACTAAATATAAAAATTTAATGAAATTTCACTTTTCTTGCTTTTTTATCTGCAAATGCCTTAATTAGTTCCGAGAAGTCCAAATTTTGAGCAATAGCATTTTCAATACTCAGTGTAGCTAGAGATGTCAATGTGGCTTGTGCAATAGTTGTCCTTAGGTAGGTTTTTTAGGGGCGTATTTAGGGGGGGTGATATGGGTGTTAGAACACCCCCCATCATCCGTATTTTTTTATATTTTCATCAAACTCTGAATTTACTCATTAAACCGAATTTCTATGAAAGACGAAAGTAAGTATCTACTGCTACTTGGCTACTTTATCTGTGTTTTGGAGTATCAGTTAGTTTTGCGTTATTTATACATGCTGTTACCAATTTACCATTCGCTC